GTCCATCAACGGAATTTCTTCAGCTAACTTTGAGCTTATTTCCTCGAGCTACTGAATACTCGTGTTAGTAGTATGAACCCGTCTCAAAACAGCAAGTTCACCATGGCAAACGCATTGTCGGCTGCAAGCATAACCAGTGATTGCCTCATTAGCCTTGCTTATTCTTGGGAACAACCCAGAAGCGTTTGCGTAAAATACTTCACAGAGCTCAAAGCCCTAGAGGATCACATAGCTCCCATTGTGTCAATTCTTTCTTCCGGGATATTACTTTGCCGACTACAAAATCCTTACCACTTCCGATTCGCACTGATATTTCTTGGCAAAATCGATGATATGCTGTTGTCAAAGTTCTGTTGGGCTCGCCAGAAAATTCCGTGACTTGATGGGTTTTTGCGGGGTAATACCACGCAAATTAGTACCTTCTTGTCGCCTTCCCGTAAAGTAAAACAGACAACAGTGTGGAGTCTACATTAGGGGACACACTAGTCTGATGACTAACGATAATTTTTCGGTTCCTGATTGAATGTCACCGACGGCAGACCTTCACACATATAACAGCAGGAAGCAGTTCTTCTTATGTATACTTCAAAAGATGTAATTTCACATTATTTCCAAAGATTCCACGCAGGACGAAGGCCTCTCACTATGATGTCGTTCGTCGACCAACATGAACTAAGCAGGTACTAGACAGGGAAGTATAACTCTCATGTCCAGAGTTTTTGAACTGCTAAAAGTATCAATCTCCTGGACAAGCAATGCAAAGTGGTTCCATAATTTATATATTAACCTTCCACCACATGCAGGGACGGAGCTTTGACACTTGATCAGACACTACTTACATGTTTTAACACTAGTCTAAGTCGATACACCAGTAGTTTGCTGTTTCTAGGTTGCAGAAAGTGGAGTTCTCGCTCAGATGCAATTGATAGCAGACCGTCCAACATATAATGACCGAAGTAGTTATCCTCAAGTGCACGCTAGTAGATAAGCGTTTTGAATTCACTTCAGACAGTTCACATTGAAATGAACGGTAAGTTATCTGATAAGAAGGGCATCGGCCTTGCGTGGCACGTTCACGATACGATCTTAATATAGAGCTATTCAACACTGGAAAGAATTTCGGTGGCGCATTCTGTTCAGTTGGTGGTAAGACATACGTTTCGTGATCAGGATGGGTGAGAATGTTAGCGCCATTTTGTGGTGCGATGCAGAACTGAGCTTTTGGTGGTTGCGCCACGTGTGATCGGTCCATTAAAACTGTTTGTAAGCAAGACTTTCAGGGGGTTAACTAGCACAAATACTTGCAGCATGGCAAGAAACCTTGACTGCTGGACCCAGCACCGTGAACAGCAATGCTTACGGCCAGAATAAGTTTCTCGGGCAATATGAGAACCTTGAACGCGGGATCTGCCCGGATTTATGACGACTTAGGTCACTCCGAGTATCGCTTACCGCATGGTATGGATGCCGCATAGTCCAAAGTCTCAGACAACTCAGGAAGACTTGCACTGGTGCCTACCTAATAAATTAGGCCTAGTGAGTGGGGTAATCAATCTGGGGCAACAGATTGACTCTGGTGTGAGCACCACTCGTCCTTCGTCAATTTCTGGCAGCTTATGAATCATTGGCTCAACAGTAGCGACTTAGTTATTGGCCGCGTAGAGGTTGTTTTGACTGCGTCACCACACTCCGCAAAGTGTTATAACAACGTCATACGTACAAACAACTCATAATCAAAGTAGTCTTGGATTCCTAAAGTTCAGCTGACCGATCTGTTCTCCTTATCAAACTTGTCAGCATGTCACAGTAATAAGTTCTTTGTATTCCCAAACTTTCTGGCGTGTTAGAATATATGGAGAGATTTATCCAGAAGCCTTTGTACACACGATGTTGTCCAATAAAGAGTCCCTCTTTCTTCATTTCTATTCAATTCCATGATGGACTAGGTAATGATCTAAATTCTGGATATTCCTCAAACCTCTGGAGTTCAAATACGTGATGTAGAATACCTTACTGATCTGGGATTGTGTGGTCGGTATCGTTCTTGCCTTCAAAGAGAAGAATGTGTAGATTTTGAGGATGAACCGACTATTCCATCGTTTGATATGCTCTTTGCCAACTCCAAAGTGTAACTTCATATTGTTATGCATTGAATAGCCACTAAATATGTCACTTAAAGTCCAAGGAGGTACCTTAGTTTTCCCGAAATGCTTCACGTATCTCGGAAGTTGTGTACGTACGTACCGCAGTGTGTGGTGGATGACGTGAACGCGGAAATCTCTAAGGCTGCGTTCACTTTCACAGTGAAAAACCAATGTATCCCGCAATTTCAAGTGACTCGCGTATCAGATTACGGTAAAGGATTCCCGTCTTTTGGTAACCACTGTCTCAGAACCATATCACCTGCCTGTGGATCCGCAATGAGACAACTAGGAAACGAGTGCTCGGTTGGAACAAGGACTTCCTCGGAAGAATATCTTCAACACCAAAAGCTTTGGTGGTATAGTCATCGATCGCGCAAACCGAACCATCGCCCAATTCAGAATGGTAAAATCAGAGTGGTGGTTGAACTTTGGTCTGCAGAGAGATAGGAAATCTGCCAGGAAGTACCTGGGCACCGTCTGCGCGACTTACCTTCCAGGACAGGGTACGCGTGATCCCTGTGTGCATGGCTTTAGATGCCGCAAAATATGACTGCTAACCAATGTCAGAATACTCGGAGGTGTGGGCATCTTGGAGCTTGACTGTTAGCATTCTTCGTCCACTCTTCGTCCACATTAACATTGTTTTTCACAATAAACCTTTCAAGTAAATCATGATTGTACGGCGGCGAGGCATCGGCTCTGAGCACTGACGTAGCGCTGTTGACGGGCCACTTACAGTCTGCAAGCCTGTACTAATCAGAGAACACCGACCGACCATTTGCACGCCAAACAACCTGGCACAATCTATTTTTACGACGAAGGTGACCTTTGTCAAACAGTTTTGGCTTACAGCCTAATAAGCTGACGAATTAAGGCACTTAGTTCGATAATTCTACGGGTGTTTTTTCCTGCCGTGTTGTTTCTCTACCCTGTTGCACTTTACTGGCCCCATCATATATCCCATCCCTGTATGCGGTTCGTACAACCCGATATGATCAATTTTCAAAGGGGTATATCATATGTACAATTTGATATTCACTTTGGAAAGAAGACCGATAATGATACAAAAAATAGGTCTACTTGGTGAGCCGGTGGCGGACAACTCAGTATTCTCAGTGACCTTATAAGTAGTAATGATGGGTTTACAATAATGAACCTTCCGAAGTGTGAGTCAGTGTTGCGGGTGGACGTACGTTGTCCCACGTCCAGCTCTGTCAGTTGTACTCAATGATTTTAGGAACGTCAATTTTCAGCTTGGAATAGTTCCGCTCCAAGAAGCAGGACTTTCACTATGCTGGAGTTGACTCGTTTCGGAGATCTTTTTACTGTGGACTATAAGGCTCGGCATATCAGACTTTATCGCTGTATGCTACTGCTAAAGAATAAAAGTGGTTTACTTGTGGTGAGTTATTTTGCATCAATATTTGTGACACATGTGGTAAACAACCAACAAATCTAGAAGTCGTCCGTTTATGCACAAGTTCTGGCTGCGACAGGCGATTGTTTCTATATTGTCTGGATTAGTAACGGTGCAGTGATTCAGTATCACTATTTTACATCTCACATCTGACTAAATGACTTTGCAGTGAGGCCTTGTAAAGATGCTACATGTATCTGCGTCTCCCATAGGTCAATAGTTTCCCTTCGCCAATCTGTCCTCAACTTTCTATCTCAACCGCCCCTAATTCCCCTATTGCGTGATATCCTTCGGTCTTTTCAGACAACTCAGCTGCCTGTTCTTGTTCTGAGTTTCCGAATTGCGTTGCTTCGTGGTATACTCAGTATTCACTGAGAGGCAAGGGCGGTTTGGTGACGCACTCGAGAGTCGTTCAAGTTGACTTATCCCTTCATCTCTCTACTGAGTTTCCGCCTTTATTCCAGTGAACTTGAAACCTTTCGTTTATTTTTGCTAATGCAGTATAAGGTTTTACTCCCTAAGAAAATCCACTTGTTCCAATCATAAACATCTTTGTCAAAGTAGCTGGAAAGGAACTCAACTTATAACGAGCCTTTTACCGTCCAAGAGGGATCGAATCTTTTCAGTGATCAGGAAGTCACAATGTCTGAACGCCAAATTCAATCCCGCTGTTCGGTTTTATTGTATATTTCTGTTACCAGTGAAACCGTAGGACCTGTTGTAAGATTCGTCTCCTGTCCGATCGTACGTGATGCAGCAAATCTCAAAATGCACCTTGGGAAATAACTGAAAAATGGTTGGCCTCGTCCAGAAGTCTCAAGACTACTTAGCGCGCCAATCAGTATGACATTTTGCTCTACGGCAGTGAAGCATCGGTGCTGAACACTGATGTCATGCTGTCGATGAGGATGATGATTTGCTCTGCCTAAAAAGATGAAAAAAACTAGAGCACATTTGTGCATAGTGGAACGCGTCTACCCCTTCAAAGGGGCTACATGTTGCCGACCCCTACAAACTACTTCCACCGCCTGTTAAACTGGCTTTCCATCCTCTTGAGCGAGAGAGAAAATCTGTCTCAGCGTCACCGCCACCTGCCAAAATAAATGATTCTTCGTGAAGCAAACTTACTTTGTGGGTAGGCAATAGAATTCACCTCGATTGGTGATGAAACGTTTGCAACCAAATTGCCCAGCTCAGCGAACAAGCCAACGACCGTCTACGCTACCTGAGCTACCGACATTCTCCTCTATAGAAAACCAATTCGGGCGTACATCGCTCGTCGCTGGGAAAACTTCGCCTGCCGACAAGCCCCTACGCGCGAACAATTACACTTCCTCCCTGAATGTCTACGTAGGAACGTGCTACCACCCAGTACTAATCACAGACCTGCGCTAGACCATCCGCAGGCGTGGGCCCTAGCAAGACAGTATGGCAGACGAATGGTTAAGTTAATGATAACAGATGCCCACAACCGTCTCAAAAAATACGAAAGAGTACTTAATGAGAGCA